AGGCTGCAGTAGAGACACAGAAAAGAAACAGGAATCTTCTGAGAACAGGATTTTCTGGGAAGACCTCCAATACTTTCCAATTTCTGACTGGTGGTTTGAGGGTAAGAGTTGTTAGAATCTAAAAAATAAAGATTTGGGTTGGTTCAATATTCAGGGGAGGCTTGAGCAGGATCTAATTGCATGCCAATTGATTTGCCCATCCCTAATATTCGTCTCCAGTTATAAAGATGTAAGAGACTTGTAAAGCAAGATCAGAGAATCACCTTGGTTTCTCTTCAGCTCCTAGTAAAGGGCAGAGAGAAAGAAAGAAAGCTTGAGAGAGTACAGCACTTTCTAAACACAAACAGAGTCAGAACCCCAAAGCAAGTTCTGCTCTGTGTGCTATTGTAGCTCCCTGCTGTCCTCAGCTGTTTTTATTCATTAGGACTCTAGTTTCCGGTTTCAACTTCCATGACATACTCTAATTATTATCATAATGATAACTATACATGCTAGTCATTAGCAACAGAAGCCTGTTACGTTAACAGCCTGAACCAAAGCTGAGAACAGCAATGGCAACTGGGGCTAGAGACAAAATGCAACAGGATGACCAAACTGTTCAAGTTTTAGTTGTTTCAATACCTGTCTATAGGAATAGGGGAGGGTCAGCCTACCCTGACCAGTCAAATGTCTCCTGCCTCATATTTCATCTTCTTGGGTTCCCCAATAAATGCACATAGACTCACGTGGCTCAAGTAACATCCCCTTCTTGGGGTCTGGATTATTAACAAAATCACTGCCCCAAGAAGGTAACAGAACGCCTCCAAGAAATTAGCTCTTCAATGAAAAGCAGCTGGCAAGACTGAAGTGATGCTAGTCAAAAAGGTGAAATGCTTTGGAAAAACAGCAGAGATGTTTGCCTCCAACTTCTATTGAAGGCTTACAGCCCACATCGGTCAAAGTTGTGTGAAGCCTCAGAATCCTGTTTGACTCCTCATTAAGCTCGAATGGTCAGGCAGTATCAGTACTTAAAGATGCCTTCTTTCATGTCCAACTTGCTAGGAAACTTAACCCTTCCTTCCAGATGAAGACCTGGCCATAGTGATACATGTATTTGTCACCTCCATGTTGGATTACCATAATTCATTGTCTCTGAAACTAATGTGAAGACAATGCATAGATTCCAGCTGGTACAGAATGTGGTTGCCCCTTTCCCCACGACTTAGGCAATCAGGAGCATGGGCCTGATGCACTCAAGTCCCTCAACAGGCTCCCAGTCAACTTTTGATGCCAATTTAAGACTTTGGTCCTAATTTTCAAATGAACTAATGGATCAAACCCCAGCTACAGGACAGAATTTTGACCTAGACACCACTGGAACAATAGAGTTCCTCTGGGAGGAAGCAGAGCTCAAAGCCCCAGACAAAACATGTGAGAACTAGGTATAAAGCATTCTCAGTTGAGAGGATCTGACTATAGAAGAACTTTCCTGAAAAGAGAACAGGAGTACTTGTGGCACCTTAGAGACTAACAAATTTATTAGAGCATAAGCTTTCGTGGACTACAGCCCACTTCTTCGGATGTTTCCTGAAAAGAGCAGCTGTCTTTAGGAAATACTTCAAAACTATTTTTCCTCAAAAAAGCCTTTCCATCAGGACACTTACAGTACTGACACCCACTTCTACCAAATAAATCCCAAACAACTGGGAGAGCAAGAAAATTAATACAATCTAATTTAAAATAAATAAAACCATAACCCTCATGGAGTCTCTGATACTTCTCCCTACAAAAAGGGAGAAGTGTCAGAGACTCTATGCAACCTACTAGGGACTTCACTATTGTTATTGGTTTTACCTAGAATGCATTCAAACAAAGAGATGAGTGGCAGTGTACAACCCTCAGAAAGATAGAACATAACAGTTAAATGTCAACTCAAATACCAACTTTTCAGCCCTCCTCCCTAGGCTCTACAGTACTGTTCCAAAACCCTTTCTTTTCTTAAGCTTTTACCAGCTGTGGCTGCTTCTTCTGGCCTTCACAGGTAACTTCTTTCTGATTGCTGCACACCTCATCCTCCCAGGTCTTTCCCCTAACTCTGAATCTCCCCTCACTGTCTGAACTGACCTACAGAATGAATGAGTTGTGGTGGGTCAATTTGAATGCACGAACATGGAGTAAATTCATCGTTCTGTTGCTAACATTTATTCCACCTAAGAAATGAGGAGCTCCCACAACCACAAGTTTTCTTGTGGGGCACTTTTTGGCATCAAAGTTAAGCTCATCTTGTGAGACTGCTTTCTTGTAGACTATTTTCCTTCTAGTTCAGGCAGAACCACAGAGGTATACAACAGTAACATTATTTTCATGATAAATAAAATTAAACAAATATTTTATTAACTTCAGAAAAGATCAAGGTTCTATTTGGGGGCCAAATTTCTTACTTTATCCAAACCAGTTTGGGGGTAAGAGGTTGTGTCTAAAATAGATGTGGCAGAAATGAAGAGTACTTCAAAGATAACTATTGATTTCCAGCTGGTCAATATGCAGCCTGCCCTCTGTGGGGTTGACAATGAAAAAAATATTTCAAAATTTCATTGAACCTATTCTCCAATGGTAATGATAAATATGTTGTCACTGATAAGTAGTCTTACCAGAACAGTTTGTGGTGACAAGGCTTTGAAAGAAGGAAATGGAAAGGGTATGGCCTTTCATTACATTACGTAAATCTATTTGACCACTGAGAGGTTGGGACTCTGCTGCTGAGGTTACAAGCTAAACAAACCATCAACTTAATTCATGCACCACTTTTCAATTGAGGGCACTGTAGCGGGGCAGTTACCCCGCTCGGGAGAGAAAAGGCTAGGCTGATTGGGGAAAGGCAAGAGGAGCTGGGGAGCTCCAGCCTGGCAACTCCCCAGGCTGCATGACTTGTGCAAGGCCTACAGCAGTACTGGGGCTGCAGAGGTGTAGCCTGGGTTAGGCAGAGGCAGCAGGTCCAAACCCCCCTTGCCAGTGATGAATGGTTTACAGACTACAGTCTGCCCCAGTGAGCGGGGGCTAGATGATGACTGGTAGTAGCCACTGAGGCAAGGTGGGGTTAGAGGGTTGGGGGTTCCCCTGGGAGGGGAGACTCAGACGGTGGGTTACTGCTGGGGCAGAACCCTGAGGAAAGAGGGGCACTGGGGTCCAGGAGGGACACAGGGGCCAATGGCAGGTGAGACACCAGCCAGGAGGAGACGCTCCCTATGCTGGAGAGCTAATTTCCAAGACAACCAGCAGGAGGCGCCACACCAGTGAGTCGTCTCATCACTACAGACACATTTTAGCTACACCCAGTGATCAATATAATTCCTTTATTAAGTAAACCCTCTGCTGTTAGCTGAGTTTGGCATGGAGCCATTCTTGAACGTCTTCTAAACTACCTTTGTGCAAACTGGCAGTTCTCAGGATCCTCGAGGACAGCTGCAACCAGCTGAACTCCAGGGAAACACAGCCTGCAGCCAGACTATACATTACATCCTACATGAGTCTCTTCTTTCAAAAATGGTGGAAACAACCACCTCTACATTGCCCTGATGAGTAATTCTTTCCACCAAGAGAGGCAGAAGGTGAACCCAAGCTGCGTGATTAACAAAGATGTTTCCTACAGGCTTTCACCAAACCAGGTAATGCATGTTGAAAATAAGCAAATAGTCTTTCTTGGTTTCCATCTGAAAAATCTCACACTTTGCTTGACAGTAAATCTTTCCCTTCTCACAAGGTATACCATTTTTGGATTCTTGGCTTTAATTTTGTCACCGATTCTGAATCTGGAAGGAGATAGAGCTGTGCAAAAGTTCTATAATGAAACCTGAAACCAGGTGAAACTTCCCCATTCCCCCACCCCTTAAAAATCCAAAACTAGAGCCAGGTTTCCTGAAGCTTTTGCCAAGTTTTCTGAACGTTTCAGCACACCTGGGCAGAGCCTCAGGAACTGAGCAGAGATCTATAGTTTTGGATGAAAACTGTACAAAAAAAAATCAGACATTTCACATTATTTGTTCTGTATGCCTGGTGATCTCAGACACAATGCATTGTCTTCTGTTCCCTGATTGCTTGGGTGGTATGTTTAAAAGTATATTCAAGTGCAGTGTTTCAAATGAATAAATATTTCTACTAAAATTCATGAAAGTTTCAGCATTTTCACAAAATTATAGATTTTAAGGCCAGAAGTACCATAATAATTTAAGCTGCCCTCCTGCATAACACAGACCAAAAGCACCTCAGCCATTAATTCCTGCAGAAGCAGAAGGGGCATGAGTGCATGGCTAGCCTCCCCGAAGTGGGGGCTCATGTGCCACCCATGCTCCCTGCTTTTTTTCAGGGTCAGCCACTGTGCATTCAGCTGCTTCTCTCTCACACACACACACACACTCTCTCATCTGTTCTCAGTTCCTTTGTGTTCTAACCCTCCGACCCAAAAAACACACACATGCATGTGTGCACATACGCAGACAAAGCAATACTCAGCAAAAGCTCCAGGCAGGTTCACATACACCTTTTGTCTTAGATGGGGTTTAGGCTTACAGTTATGTTAATTGAAGGGTGACTTCACACCTATCAATCTCAATCCTATAAAAAGGTTTCACCCAGCAAAATGAATAACAACATTAGGTTATAGAATTTGTAACAGGTCTCTCTCTGTTGACAGTCTTTGTTTGTGGAACTGTCCCTGGGAGAAGGCATAGCAGAAACCCTTGTCTCCTTTTAAAGGTATCTTTGGCCACTCTCTCTAGTTAGATGTTTCCTCCCTTTGTTTTAGCATCCTCTGCCCCCTTTGCTATCCTCATTCCTCTAACTAACTGGGACAAGCTTCTTTGGGGAACGGAGTATGCATTTATAGTGTTCTCTAGCAGGGTGTTATACTTGGCTGGTTGGTTTCTTTTTCTATATTTAATACTTTGAATTGTATTTCTGTTCAGTGTTCAAATGCCTTTCAGCTGGCATCCTATAAACAGAGAGAGTATATGTGAGTAGAGAGAGGAGCAAGGAAACATTCTGAGGGCATGTTAGTCTAGAGGCTTTTGTTAAAAATAGGTAATAAATAAAATCTGACTTGGAACAAGAACTCAGTTCCTTTCCTTTCAACATGAGACTGGGTAAGACAAAGCATCTTGATTGGCTCAGGTGGAGGAATTTTTGTGGGAAGAGGGGTGTGTGTGGTGGTTTATGCTAATTATCATTTATTTTGGGAGATAAGCTACTTGTACATGGGATGTTTAGTTTGGACACAGAATAACTGTCCACAGTTTGATTTTGACATGAGTAACGGACCTTTGGTAGGGGAGGAGGACATTGACAAATATTGCCTGAAGAAAGGGATCAGCCAAAACACCAACTGCTCCAGAAATTGCTCTAGGCAACAGATTGGTAATGGAAAACACTGCCTGGAAGTGGCTACGGGGAGAGGGGGAAAATACAAATGGTGGTTGGAAAAATTTGTAGAGCTGGGAGGTAAGGGCTGGACACAGCAACCTTCTGTGAATATAATTTGGTTTGGAATGACAATGTTTGTACTGAACTAACCTCGAGCACAGGAAAAGCCAGACAATGGTACAAAAAGCTGTTGCATTGTTAGTCTAATGTGCTCTTTTCTTTTCCCTTGGCTTACTCAGCTGATTATGTAACTGATCAACTGGGTTAATTTTCAAGCTGCCCACAATGTTATCAATCATATATTCTTTTATAGAATGTCAAATTATTTTTTAAAAGCCCACAATATTTCCTGTGATTAGTAATGTCTGGATATGTAGTTGTCTTACACAATATATATTTGGTTAACAAATCTAAATCCTGATTGAAAATGCAGTTCAATAATAGCAGGCTTTTAAATTATGAATCTGTACAAAGGAATTATATATTCTCCCACATATTCTTCCATCTCCCTACATATCTTCATAGGAAAATACAATTATGGCAGATGCAATAGGGTATGAAGTACATATTGTTTTCTGTTCTGGGAAGGTCTGCTTAAAAACTGAGCAGCTTTCAAAATGACAAAACAATTTTTCCTGGCAAGTTTGGTATCAGGCTTTGTTTTGCTAAACCTGATTATGTACTTTGGCTGCATGAACTAGCATATGTTTCAAACCAATTTAATCCCTGTTCAAAATGATTCTCCTTATTTGCCCAACCATTTCAGAAATCATTTTTTCATGCTTGCTTTGAGTTACTGTTTAGTACATATGTACTCCAAGGGACAACAGAACGCAGCAGTGACTTAAAGTCTGATTCATGACGTTTTACTTACAGCATGAGCTGAATTGTTTTAAAAATGCTTTTTGTTTGTCTTGGGTTTTTTTTAAACCTACTGAGGTACAGATGTTCCTAGCAAAGAAATATCAGCCACACTGTACATGGGTTATATGGAGTCACATGGGTGGCGTTTAGCCTAATATCACAGAAATAGGGAACAAGAGCAGGCCCCACAACCTGGCCCCTTTAAAAAAAATTCATGGAGGGACTGACTATGGTCAGCATTTCAAATGTCAATGTAGCCTTAATTTTAAAAAGTTACTACCACATCTGTGTGCAACTCATCTTAAAGGGGGAAGAGCCCTGTGGGATTCTGTCATCTCACCCAACCTCCTGTCAGATCTGGGCTGCTCCATTCAGAACAGTTTCTAGAGTTCTGCCCAATTCAGTTTTTAAGACTTACATCATCCCCCCAGGGGAATGGTGGATGTCAGACTAATGGATCTCACAAGTAAAAGCTTTTCCAGATATTTAGTACACAATTTTCTCATTCCTAATTTTATCCCATCACTTTATATACCATATGGACCAAGATTCTCATAGGTGTGCTTCAGTTTTTTGGTACCCAAGTCAAGGTGCCTTAGAGACCCCATTTCTAGAAAGCATTGAGCACCCACCCTCTGACAATCAGGCCCTGTAGGACATCTCAAGCTAACAAACAAAATGGAGCCACCAAAAGTCACTAGTCACTTTTGAAAGTGTTGGCTGCATAATATTCTAAATAAATCCTCTCCCTCACTGGTGTTTATACTCCCTCCATACCCATAAATAGTTAGGCCCATTCTTCAAGAGTTCTTGACTAGGACAGGTACATAGGGGTATTGCATACTAGTGCTTTTAGATTAGCATATTGACTGCATGCACATCAGTTCTACCTACCTAACCTAATAGGGATTCCATCTATTGAGCACAGCTGATTAGCTTCCCTGTGTTTCAGTTACCCTATCTGCAAAATGAGCATAGAACAGTAATTTACCTAATTAATCCACACTACTCTTCTTTGGGGTAATGGCTGTACAGTGCTTTGAAAATATGAAGTATCATGGGCTCCGTTTTTCCCTACATGGGAATAACCAATGCTGCAAATTGTCCTATTCATTTTTCCATGAGGAAGCCAGCAGCGTATTATCACTTAGGCCGACAAGGCCTAGGGCGGCAAATTTGCAGGGGCGGCAAATTTATAATAGCAGCATTTTTATAATCGCGGCATCACTGATGCCACGATTCTACCATGCATAGGCGCCAACTTTTCCCGGCGCCGGTGGGTGCTCGCCCCCTGCCCCACCCCCATTCCAACTCCTTCCCCAAAGTCCCCACCCCAACTCCACCCCCTCCCTGCCCCATTGGACTCCTTCTCCAAATCCCCGCCCCGGCTCCACCTCTTCCTGGAGCGCGCTGTGTTTCCTCTCCTCCCCCCTCCCTCCCAGCGCTTGCTGCCGTGAAACAGCTAGGAACTAGAGGGAGAAATGGGGACGCAGCACGCTCAGGGGAGGAGGTGGAGCAGAGGTGAGCTGGGGCGAGGAGGTGGGAAGCTGCCAGTGGGTGCAGAGCACCCACCAATTTTCCCCCATGGGTGCTCCAGCCCCGGAGCACCCATGGAATCGACACCTATGATTGAAACCACCAATGACGGCGCGACGCCATTTAGTAAACATACTCGCGAGAATTTGTAAAAAATCTAAAACAAGTTCATATGGGGCAGGGTCGGCAATTATTTCAGGGCCTGGGGTGGCAAAATCATTAATCCGCCACTGAAGGAATCAGGCTTGTCAGCCCCATAAAAAAGTTGCTCTCTTAAACCATGGATGCCCTGAGATCTATTTCTATTTTTAAGATCTGTTGCTGGAAGAAGGGAGTATCTGCTCTATAATCCAGCTCTATCAACTCCTACTGGACCCTTTCAATGGCTCCCATGACCATAACTGCACTTCGCTCTCATTTTGGAAAGGGGTTTTCTGCAGAATGAGAAGCAGTACATATTAGGAAAGCCCCCAAGCTCTATTAACTAGTACAAACTAGTCCTGTGGGTATGGGAAGCAGGGAAAACACTTCAAGAGGTTTAGGTGAAAGGGAGACCATGCCGCCTACATGGGCCCTATGTAAATGCTAAGAATTCCTCATCTTATACTCACATGAAAGCTATTTACTGACCTGGTCACATTTACACAGCTCTGTGAGGGGCAAAAATGTGAAACCAAGAGTCATGTGATCAAAATAAGGGGTCTAGAATAACAATCCTCAGAAGCAATGCCTACACGTGTCTTTGCAGGAGATTACAGCTTTGATTAGTATTAATATTTCAGTGCCTCTCGCATTTCCCCCACCACCACCTTTTTCTGCCTCCAGCTAGTAGTTTGAGGGGAACAAACTTGTTACACTGACAAGCTGTTTTTAATGTGACAGGTTTCTGCCACTCTTGTCTGAACTCATTCCAGGATCTTCTTGTAATGTAACCGTGCTGAAATAAACTTTCTTTCAATATGAAGTAATGGATTGTGTTTCTGCAGGCTTAGAAAGGAGCAGCCTAGAACAAAAAGAACAGGAGTACTTGTGGCACCTTAGAGGCTAACAAATTTATTTGAGCATAAGCTTTCGTGGACTACAGCCCACTTCTTCAGATGCATAGAATGGAACATATCTTGAGGAGATATATATACACATACAGAGAGCATGAAAAGGTGGGAGTTGTTTTACCAACTCTGAATGGCCAATTAAGTAAGAGGGAAAAAAAACTTTTGAAGTGATAATCAAGATAGCCCAGTACAGACAGTTTGATAAGAAGTGTGAGAGTACTTACATGGGGAGATAGATTCAATGTTTGTAATGGCTCAGCCATTCCCAGTCTCTATTTAAGCCTAAGTTGATTGTATCTAATTTGCATATCAATTCAAGGTCAGCAGTTTCTCGTTGGAGTCTGTTTTTGAAGCTTTTTTGTTGCAAAATTGCCACCCGCAGGTCTGTCATTGAATGACCAGACAGGTTAAAGTGTTCTCCTACTGGTTTTTGAATGTTATGATTCCTGATGTCAGATTTGTGTCCATTAATTCTTTTGCGTAGAGACTGTCCGGTTTGGCCAATGTACATGGCAGAGGGGCATTGCTGGAACAGTGATCTCTTGTTGCCAAAGCACCAAGCACCATGCAAGCTGAGTTTTGTGTTGCTAATGCCACAGCTCTGCTCCTGACTCCTTTTGGAGCTGTGCTATGAAATCTTGTCCCTGCTACAGACTCCCCCTGCCTCCCATGACATGTCAGGATATTACATTAACTGCTTAAAGCTATAAGCTATGGATGGAAGCTGGGAGTGCACCAAAGTAAAGGGTTAAGGGATCACTTCAAACATATCACAGTCCCAGGTTAAGCAAGCATCACAGTTTAGCTGAAGTTTAAAACAGTAATATAAGAAAAAAGAAAAAGCATTCATTAATACAGAAATTAGCAGCTGGATGATACAGTTCATGCATTTTATAAAATGCAACTAACATGCCACTCCTGCTGAGTGATTTAATCTTTTATTTCTGTGCAGATTAAAGTTGATTTTTATTCCTCAGATAACTGTGAAAAAACTACTGTACAGTTTATGCAAACACAGAAGTCAGACAGATCAGCTAAACTACTCAGATTCATAGACAACTCCAACATATCCTAGGAAAGTGTGTGGACTGTTCACGCTTTTTTCTAATCCCTTGATTGGGTCCCTGTGTTTCTTTACATAAATTTCAAGCTTCTTACCCTCACTACCCAGTTCTTCCACAATTTTTCTCACATATTTATATGGCTCTTGTTACCATAGTAACTGAGTGCCTCACCATCTCTAATATATTTATCTTCACAACACCTCTGTGAGATAGTGAAGTACTATTATCCCCATTTTACAAAGGGTAACAAAGAGACTAGGTGACTTGCCAAAGGCACACAGGAAATTTGTGCTTGAGCAGGAAATTTAACCCAAGTTCTCACCCTAATGACTGGACCAACCTACCTCTCAAGGCCTCCAAGAAATTGGTCAACTAATAAGGGATATAGTGAGAGGCGATAAAGTATACTTTATTTAAATACTCATCGATTCTATAGTGGACATAAAATTATACATATTTTGATTATGCTCTTCCCATCACCCTTCATATGTATCTTCCTTTAGGAGAACAAAGGGGTGGCAGGGATATGAAATAAACAAGACACCACTGTACCTCTTTCCCCTACCTTTTTTCTAAGTGTAAACTCCTCAGAATAGAGATTGTTTATTACTAGCAGTTTGTACAGCACCGAGCACAGAGGAGCCATCATCCTACGGAAGGTTCTGGGTGCTACCACAATAAAAATAATCAATTTTTGTTTTGGTCTGTGGTTGTTTATTTCCCCCATAGAACAGAAAAGTAACTTTGAAGACCACGCATTATCAGGTCTTCATTATTCAGGTCTTATTATCAATCAGACTATTTAATTAATTAATCGGATAGCATTTACATGTGGTTTCATAATACAGAATCAGTATGGAGATGTAGTACAGACGTTCCCTGAATTACGTAAACCCGACATATGCAAATCGGAGCTTACAGAAAAAGTTCTGTAAGCTAGAAATAGGAGTTTTCATTCTTTTGAGGTTTTGGGGTTTTTTTTGGTGCAATGGTCGGAGATACGTTTCTGATTTACGCAAAATTTGCATAAGTCGGGGAGCGTCTGTACTAATTTAATTATGTTTACAGATATGTAAGTCCCACCCTCAATTCCCCATTCACACACACACACACACACACACCTATAGCAACTGCTACAAGATTTGCTAATAATCAGGGCACAATGTTTTTTATGTAGACAAAATTCCTATGGATGTCTGCAAAATTGTGGCCTAAAACTCCTTGCTGAAAAAGCTTGGTGCAAGATTCATTGGTGCTAAAGATCTGCAATGTATTATAAAATCTAGTCCAATCACTTAATCTAATTAGTAAGAAAAGTAAAAATCACTAAAAATTGCTGGTAAGCGGTTTGCAATATAATTTTAACATATATGAAGAAACTGAAAGTTACCTTCTTGAACGTCTGGTAATGAAGGGTAAAATATTCTAAAGTGCTTAAGTCACATAGAAGTGTAAGTTCTACTGGAAGACAGTTGGATTTGGGCTCCTAAGTTATTTAGGAGCTTTTGTAAATTTTACCCAGAGATTTGAATACTGTGCCTTCCATCACTGAGTTGATAAGTGAATTCCAGGGAATACTGTGCTCTAAGCCACACAGAAATATTCCAACCCATACTGCACACTACTATTCCCTGAAAAAGTAATCCATATGTAGGTACACAGTCAGCAAGAGAAAAATCACATAATGAATCAGCGGCAGAGCCAGGAACAGAATTTAGAAGTTCTGGCTCTCAAGCTCCTACTCTAACCACAACTCTCCTTCACATGCTGTGCAAATAAAGATCTTTTCAGAAGAATCAATATTACTGGCAAAGACATATAAACAGCATGTGGCAACAGCCTAATATCCATAACCAAGATAAACAGGATGAATAGCCTAATTTTTCTTCAACCAACTGTCCTGATATTATCTTGAAATTATATAGTACACAAGGTGCCCCAAAGCACAAAATAATTTCTCAAGGACCATAACTATGCTGAAAGAAACTATGTTCTCAAGGAACATAATAATGGCCACTTGGGTCAAGAACAATGGTAACATCCGTTGCTGGGAAGAAAAAACTCATTTGGAACTTTAGTATTGAAATTAGCCCAGGATCTCAAGCCTGCTCCTGCTCCAATTGAAATTAATGGGTATTTGGTCATTTACTTCAATGGGAACAGGAGCAAGGCTCTTGGTGTATTTCTTACATGCTATACCTGGGAGGTTCTGAGGAATGCTGAGTGGCACAGATACTAAATTAATTATAATACAAGGTAGGAGCAACGTAGGTGATGCAAAGTCATCTGCTCTCTGCAATCCGTAGCATACTAGCTCCTGCTGCCAGCTTTGAGGAGTGTGTTTCTTCCTTAACATGTTTTAACTTAACTAATACCTCTACTTGGCACTTCCAGGCAAAATACTTGGTTGCAATATTCATATGTTCTATGCTTTTAACCTGTATAAAAGAAAAACTCAGCCTCCATAGCTGTCATCATTAGTTGATTCATTTCTTGTGATTAGTGCCATATTTCACACATTTGATTATATAAGATACATATACTTGATGCTAATTCACAATTTCCCTGCCCATCCTTAGATGCCAGCAATCTGCTGATTTATTTCTATGCCAGCATTGTTAATATTACTGGCAGAAACTGGCAATTTTGTAGAACAAAAATAAGCTTCACATGATCTGATGATTAACAAAACATATCATCATGAGCAAGGCTGCAAATTGCACATCGTCCATAGTAGGGGGCTAGGTAGAGCTGCACCCTCCCAGAAGAATGTTTTCTACCATTAGCCTTGAACACCCATTTGTCCAATTCTCCTTCAGAAGTCTCCATGTGTTAGAGCTCTATGCAGGACTATTTTTTAATCCCACTCCCACCCACTTCCACTATTATGGCAGCAGTCCTGCGGGACCCACTTGATCCCAGTCCCGCTGCAGGGCTCTACACTAGTCCTGCGCAGGCCTTTGCCATGCGTTTCTTGCCCCTTACACATGAAACGCTCTCCTTGAATACATCCATAAAACCAATCATCTCTCTGTTTCAAATCCCTTCACCAGATTTATTTCTGCTGTGATACCTACAAGAAACCAACCAGCTCATGATGACCAAGAGGAGTGGCCAGTGCAGGTAGCTGACATTTATCTATCTGCAAAACAAAAAACACCTTACAAATAATTCAGAGCTGTCAGGTTGTGCACATAACTAACCTGTGTAACCACGTCCTCTCTCTCCATTTTTCTCTTATGGTTAGTTGACCTAACTTCTCTCAAGTTAATTTGTAAGCTTTTGGGGGCATAGACCATATCTTTTGTTTGTCATCACAGTTCATAGCACAGGGAGACCCCAATTCTGATTGGGATGCTTTTGCAGTAATAAGACAAAATAAAATAAATAAATATAAGTTGAAATTTTATGGGAATTTTTACCTCCCCACCCAATCTGGGTTGGTTGTGATTGCTCACAGAAGTCACATGGTACTAGTTCCCTCACAGACAGTCTGTCTGATGGGGTCAGGAGGGTTACCATTTTAGCTCATTCTCTTAGACAGCACGACTGCATTTTTTGCATTCAGAATCTAAGGGAGCTGAACCATTTGGCACACTGCCTGGTGGGCCCCAAAGATACTAAGGAGAGAGTAATCCATTAACAAAGCCACCATGACAGAGGAGTAGCAGGGCATTAGTCCATCACTGCAAGAACACTAGATGTAGGCAGGGAGGATCTCTTAAAGAAACTGTTCAGTGGAGAGGGATTGGGTGGAGACAGAGATTCACAAGATAGTGATATCTGAACTAACATAATTTATGGAGGGAAAGTATCTAAACTTTCGGGGGCAGATCCTCACCTGATATCAATTGCCTTTTTCCATTGACTTTAATGGACTGTCACTGGATTTGTAAACCATTTAGCTATGGGGAAGCTAATTGACAGCATGTTTTTACAGTTTTGTAATGGTGAAGCTAGTTTCTGGTGTGCTCTTTGTTTATAAACTGGTATGTTAATGATATATTGTTTTTTAACTGTACTTCTCTTCCAGGCACACAGGAGAAGGAATAAGGATTGGTAATTGTTTGGGTACTGTGACGGGGCTCCACTCACCACGCTGGTGCCTCCTGCTGGCTATCTTGGAGAATTAGTTCCACAGGTCAGTACGCCCTTTCCTAGTAATGCTTTGCCTGCTGCCACTTCTGCTCCTGGACCCACGTCACTCCAAGGACTACGGCATCCTCTTCACATCACAGCCCTCCACCATGACACAATCTGTGCTCCCCCTTCTGGGGTCGAGTGCTTCAGTCCAACTCTCCTGCGACTTCCCCAGTGGTGACTGCAGCCAATTGTTCAGCCACTTCCCCACAGGCCCAGCAATGTCTTTGCCCTTGTCTTAGGGTCTCAGCCTGCAAATCCCAGCAGCCAGCCAGGAGCTCTCTCTAGCTCCCCCAGACTCTGCTAGCAGCACTGCTCTGTCCAGGGTGCTAGCTTCTTTCTGCCTGCCAGCACCCAGTCCTCCCTCCTTGAGATCCAGGGAGTAACTGACCCTGCTCTGCCCTGCATCTCTTTTTATATGGGCCTGCCAGGCCCCAATTGGCTGCTTCTCTCAGCTCCTCTCTAATTGGCTGCCTCCTGTGCAGCCTCCCTATTGCTCTATTAACCCCTTAGAGGCCAGTGTGGGGACATTGCCCCACAGGTACTCTTGGGGATCTGGATATCAAGCAGACTGCAAATCCAATGTCACTCCATAACAACCACCAACAGTGGCAAGTGATGCATTTTCATTTTTTCCAGTGCAAAACTATTCTTAAGAGCCACCTTGGCAGAATAATTCCTGTTAGAACCAGTCTCCCAAGATGCCATATAAATAACCCAAATAAAATAAAACTTAGTTTTACCAAAGATTTTACAACTGAACATAGCAAAACAAAATAAACTACAGCTGTCCAATGAAGGGAGAATGGAAGAGATCACTGGTGAGAATATTAAAAGGGAAAATACAATATACAGAAGTGGATTTTAAAGAGTGAAGTGAAGGTGGAGAAAGAGGGCCTTTGGAGGACAACAAATGGGAAATTATTCCACAGATGGGAAGCAGCATGAAGGATCACGTGAAATCAAGAGTGGGAAAAGGAGAGAGGATTACTTACCAGGAGAAATATTAGTGTGTGGGATTGAGGAAATGAAAGCAGAAGTGAAAGTGGGAAATGCTTATGTAAGCCTTGAAGAAAGCCCAGGAGGGAATCACTCTAGACACTGAAAGAGAAAAAGTCAATATTGCTTTAGCAGTGACATTATCAGATAGGCTGGGAGTTAAGATAATGGAAACCTAAGTTTACAATAGTCAAGGCAAAAGATGACCCTTGTGTAAATAAAGCATTTATCAATAGGTTCAAGGAAAAAGCAGAATTTGGCTATAGTAAAAAGGGGGGAAACAAATAAGGTTTGTTCAGATACTGCATATTGTGGGGAGAAAAGGGGAGAAGTTGAAAGTAATAGCAAGGTGACAAGCCTGGGAGACAGACAAGATAGTGGGGTTGTCTATGCTGCTAATGAGGGGAGGAACTAGTGCGAGATTAAGATAAAGGATAAATTCAGTCTTGGACAGATTGAGTTTGAGATGTAAGACTGCAAGATATCCAAGTAGAAATAACCAAGAGTGAGTTGGAGATGTCAGACTGGACAAAAAGATGGCGATGGATAAGTTGTGAATGAGCACTTATCTACCTGAAGAAGCTTTGCACAATCTGGCGCATAACTTTTAATTTTCTATTGCTAAAGGCAGCATGATACGTCAACCTGACAGTCCATTCACTCTCTAGCAAATGAACAAACTTTCTAACAGTAAGTATTTGTAAGCATTTCTAGGAAATGAATGCTCTTGCCCATTCCTTTTCCCTCCAAGATCCCTTTAATTTTGAATCTCCACATATCTCTGGGCTAATCCATGTACAACCATCTCAAGGTTTAAAAAGTACAACGACTGCTTGAGGCCCAGTAAGGAGCATTTTGAAGGGGCCCTTTTGTTGTTTTCCCAGGTAGGATGTTTAACTCCTGATCAGTGCAGCCTGAATTCCTTTCTCACCACACCCAAGGTCATTTTAATGAAAATTCCAAAGCCCATGCCAAGAGGATAGAATTGCTCTTAATCCTTCAGCAGCTAGTCATTTGATCCACAGACCCACTGGGGTTATTATTGTGTGTCTACAGAGCACAGCAAAGCACACAGAGGTAGAGAAATGGCAACCACTGCGGAAACCAGTTTCCTTTCCCCAACCTTTCTTTCAGGTTGAGGGGGAGGGGAGGGGTCCTCTGTCTAATCAGTACATTCACCCCCTGCCAATTTTTAGTGCTAATACAATGTTTTAAGTTATCCTCCTCCTTTCATAGAAGTTGCACAAGTTGTTTTTAACAAAAAGAAATAAGGAAGTTTAATTACAAAAACTGTTTCCTCTGTTGTGCATTTTGAAAGGGAACTGCATGTCTGTGTGGTCCACACCTCAGTGTATTGTACTGATGTTTTACATCTGTGCTTTAACAGTGCCTTAGAATAATGAAAAACAATGTGGACAAATAAAATTAAAAACAAAATAGCACTTTTGGCAGGATGGAGGAGGAAAGAGAGATAGTGAGTACAGTACAATATTCCATTTCTCCCTGGAATCTTTCACACATGATCCAGGAGTATGTGTTTTATCTAGTATGTTCTCAGCGGTCAAGGTAAGGCTTAATTCTCACTCCCTACATTTGTTTCAATCCGTGTCTGATGTGAGCAGTGACTTCCATTTCCTGTCAGGTTGAAATCAGTAAATTCACTGAATACTTTATTTAGGACACCACAGGCCTCACGCAACTCTACCAGCTTTCACTCATTGACAGGGCTTGCTTCTACATCATGTGGATTCTTTTGCTCAGACCTTCACCCCCTGCCAAGATGAGAGAGATGCATCCGCCATCATCACCCCCCTCCAGATAAACATTTAGGGTCCAAACCTGCAAATACGTAAGCACATGGGTAACTTTGTTCACATGCATAAAGTTACTCACATGCTGAAGTGCTTGCAGGATTAGACCTTAAAATAATGCATTCTCCCCATCTCTTCAAAGGTGAAAATTTCCAAATGTGTTCTCTACCATTGTATTGCTAACAGTGAATTTCCTTCTACAGAAATTTTGCAGCACCAGCAGCTCTGCACAAAGTACCTGGATGTAGTAAAACCTATAAGTATGGTTGCTACGAAAAAGCCTCTCTCGGCTTTCATCACTAGATTTATGAAAGATATATATTTTAGGCACCTCGTGCGATTTACAAATATGCCTAAGGAAGTCAATGGGAGTTAGGCACCTAACTCAGTGAGGTACTTCTATAAATCCCACCAAGCATCTACCTTCATCATTAGGCACATAAATACCTTTGTAAGTCTAGCCCTTAGTGCTCAATCCTGTTCCTATTGAAGCCAAGGGCAAAATTCTCATTTTTTTCAATGGGAGCAGAATCAGTCCTATCAACCTTGCCCACACTACAACTTTTAACAGTTTGTAATAATTTACTACTGTCTCTGAACAGAGTTTGTGTCTTCACACAGTGTAGTTAAAGCTTAGTGTGATCAGTTAACAGTGTTTGGGCCCCTACCAGAGGACTTGCTTGGGATATAATTGTCTTCCTGTAAGCAGTTCAACACAGTCCGATGCACACAGAACTCCCTAACCGTGTTCGCTAGTGGTTTGGCCTGTCCTCTTTCCTCGAAGTTCCCTAGACCTCCCAGAGCACACTGTCCCATGTTCTGCTGAAACTAGTATGTGTGTGCCCACCCTCTGGGCATTCCATCCCCTACCCAGGATGTATAGCTGCTGAGCTATTCTCAGAGTGCATCTCTGAATGGGCAGCATGGTAGATGCAGACACACAAACATGGCTATTATGGCAAAAAAGCTGCTGTGGGGAAACAAACTGAAAAACATTACCTAGGTACAAGTAAAGTGACCTTGCCTCAAACCAATTTTATCATGTTTTTGTAACTGTAGTGTGATCAGTGTCTTCAAGAACAGCAAACCTACCCTTCAGGAAAAAAGTAAAGCTTTCCTTATCTTCCTCCACTGGGAAAATCCCATTATCCCACATCAGAATGCATCCATCTTGCCATTTCAAGTTCCAAACACACAGTAAAGTAAGGTAAGCAGTATCAGCCTAAAGGGATTTGAAAACATGAAGTGTATCAAACCATATTGAATTTTTATTTTTTGTATCTATTTATTTTGAGCAGCAAGCATACGACAACCCAGAATACTGTCCAATTGGATTGCTTCATTAGCCAAACTTCTGGCTCCCTTTATGGAAAAGAGACATTATCACTGTGATAAATGAAAGAGGGGGTAGCTCCCTTTTATGGGCACCCAACCAGCCAGTTAGCTATAAAATCCCTCTTAGTAGTTGTTCTCTACTTGCTTTACCTGTAAAGGGTTAAAAAGTCTCACAGCATAGGTAAAAGGAAGGAAGTGGGCACCTGACCAAAAGAGCCAATGGGAAGGCTAGAACTTTTTAAAATTCGGAAAAAACTTCCCCTTTGTCTGTCTGTTGTTCTCGGGGAGAAGCAGAGACAGGGCTGCAGCTATGCTGTAAGAGCTTGGGGCCAGGTATGAAAAATCATCAAATCATACCTAGAAACTACTCATTTGAAACCCCAGTTATGTAAGAAGATCAGGAAATGTCTAGGAAGACGCGATTAGGTTTATCTCTCTTTATTTCTTTATGGCTTGTGGACTCCTCTGTGCTAACCCCAAATGCTTTTGTTTTGCTTGTAACCTTTAAGCTGGACCTCAAAAAGGTTATTCTTGATGCTGAATATTTGTAAGCAGGTTTTTTAAATATAGCAAGAGCCTGAGTTTTCAATGTATTTTCTTTCTTTTTGTTTTAATAAAATTTACCTTTTTTAAGAACAGGCTGGATTTTGTGTCCTAAGAGGTTTGTGCACGTTGTTTAATTAGCTGGTGGCAACAGCTAATTTCCTTTGTTTTCTGTCTCAGCTCTTCCCCAGAGTGGAGGTGAAAGGACTTGAGGGTACCCCACAGGAAGGATTTCCCAAGTGCGGCTTCCTGGGTTCTCAAAGGGGTTTTTGCACTTGAGTGGTGGCAGCATCTACTCGTCCAAGGTCAGAGAAAAGCTGTAAACTTGGGAGTTTAATACAAGCCTGGAGTGGCCAGTATTAATTTTTAGAATCCTTGAGGGCCCCCACCTTCTGCACTCAAAGTGCCAGAGTGGGGAATCAGCCTTGAGAATCACATACATGGGTTATTCCATAGCTACTAAGAGATGGGAACAGTAGAGAGGGAAGGGTTATATTTTAAGTCATATAAAAAAGTGTTACAAAAATTTTAGAAAGGGAGCTTGTTTCATAATATTATTACATTTTCTCAATTACAAAAGTCTTGCCCATAAAGACACTCTGAAAGGAAAACATTCCAGCAATATAAATGATAGCTAGAAAGTGCAAGCACACAAAGCCAGATGTTTGCTTCTTACATTTTAGGTAGATATTAACAGATCTAACAATGCACAAATATTAACATGTCCTCCTTCCATCTACAGTGCATGCCACACATGCGGTATTGTCTCAAACACCCTTTTAGTTTGGTTTCAGCTTTGTCTATTTGCAATCATTTTTATGCAGTATGTCATTCTGGTTGCATAGAAAATACTTTACCATTAGGGTAAGTACATAGGGGAACAGTAAATGGGGCCAAATCTACTATGAATCTAACTAGAGCCAGGTATGATGTAAACATACTTGCTCTGCCAAACCATCTTATTCCATCCTGACCTGTAGTAATTTTGTTACTCCAGAGCTGGGCCTGACAGCAGACAGCTATTTGTGCCAAATTGTTAAGTAATCACACCCAAAAAACACAGTGATTAAAAACATTCATCAGTCTTCCGATAAAAAAAAAATAGATAGAGCCAGTTAATTGATAGAAAAAGGGAGAATGTCATTTTCAAGTGATTTGTAAATAACACTGATTGCAAGGTGATTTTTTTTTCAGGGCGGGGGGAGAGGAGCTCTGGTTTGTGTTATTTTACAGCGGTTGTGCAGCATGATAGGACTGATTGACTGATCACAATTCAGCTTGTCAATGGCATTAGAAAGGTTGATGTACCCCCTATGGAGGAACTGTGCAGACAGACTTGACTGATTGAGTATAGCAGAGTCCCACACAAGTCTGAATTGTAAAGGTTAATGCAATACTATGCAGGGGTCCTGCTGATTGATAGAATGTTTGACTGATTGTAGCCAAGTCCCACAAGGATCAGAATTCTGAAGGTTTATGCCACACTGAATTCCACAGCCTGACACAAAGCTGGTCTGCAATTCACACGGTTTCTTACATTCTAATCAGGAAGGTTAATTCATGACAGGTGAGGGTTGCTTGGCTTTTTAAAGTACAATGAAGAAATTGATTTAGCTGAAACACTTAGCATGCTAATCAAATGTCCAGTTTTTCTACACAACAGAATCCTGCACATTTTATTCAGAGCAATGTCTCTCTTCTACAAGGCTGCACTATTTTGGCAGATCACGCCAAACATGCTTCTGGACTGTCATTGCTCTGCTCACTGATGTACGTAATAAAGATTGGCAGTCATCCCAGTCAACTCTGAGTATTCATCCATCTCCTAAAACCAACCATGGGATTTTTGTGATTGGCCCTTTCTGCTCAAGAGATCCTGAGGACTGAAAGAGCTCTGAACGCAGATGAAGAATGAGGGACACTGGCATAGTGCTCTGCTACCACCATAATGAATGAGGGACAAATGCCTAGACAGCTAATAGATTGTGGGGGGCGTCTACTGCATCAGCCCGCACAATGGCTTGTCTTAGCTAGAGATATTGGTCTTAATGAAATGGTGCAGCATATCTATCTGAGCAAAAGCAGATGGGGAGTTAATAGCCCTGCAGACAGTCAAATGGGGTTGGTGATGGTGACCAACTTGTGAAGTCCAGTCAGGTGTTCAGAGTTAAATGAGGGCACTCTGTCAGACAACGTAGGATGAGCTGTATTTCCAGTCACTATAACCTGAGCTGAGCCTTTTATTTGGTTTGTGTAAGTCTTTTGTTGCTTGTTTTTTTTTGTTTTTGTTACAATCTGTGAGCTTTCAAAACAGCCTTGAAACAAAATTCTCCATTGTAAAGGATTTGTTCTTGTTGCTGGACTAGGTTGGCCCACTGTATCAGATTATGGCCCTTTACACCACATTCACATGAAACTAAAATAGATATCCAGTATCAGAAGAGAACTGCATGCCTGTGCTGAACAAAAATTGTTCTTGGGATCTGACACAATTTCAATGCAGTGTATGACCAACACAGAAAGATTTTGAAAAATAATTGTGGAAGAGATTTTCATAAGCACCTAAGAAACCTTGACATAATTCCAATGGAAAGATGGCGGTTTCTGTGTTTTGTCAGGACTTTTTAAGCATCTATTTTATTTTTAAGATCTGTTTAAATTTTAATATGTATTGAAGGCCAGACTGGATCCTTGTTTCTCTCTCAGTAATTTCCCTTTCCTTAGTGTGATATTAATAAATGATGTGAAGAATACATTCATTCAGTTTAGGGATGGATGGACTGGTTTGTATATATTTGCCCCCAGGTATGGAACTTTACCTTCACTATAAACATAAGTTAAGTCACCTCACTCCTCTCCCCAATATCTACCCTTTCAGGGCTTATGCAGGTATAGAGCCCTCCTATAACTTCCAGAGCTTCCTTGGGAATAGGAGCAAAGCATTCTGGGACGCCACCACATATGAGTTTGAGAGTGCAGCTGGCCAGAGCCCAGCACAAAATGTGCAAAGCCTGGTGGTCCTTCACTTTTTTCCTTATTTGCCATGTGATATCCCTGAAGCTAGGGCGAAAGGGTATGAAGGGTCAATGGGGAAAGGTGTTTGGGTGGGAGTTAGGCGAGAGACTGGAAACCTGTGTGAAGACAGAAATAAGAGCAGTTGGATAAAGTGGGGTCTGAGAGTTAGTTTGCACTTTTCCTCTTCATGGTCCCTGGCATAGGCTTGGACTGCCCTGGAAACTACTCTAACTTGTGTCCTTGCTTCAGTGGCTCCCAAGGAGCTTTGGAAGGATGCATAATTGCCAGGACAAAGGTCTGTCTCTATCATGGCCACTCTCTCTTCTGGCCCAGGTATAGCCTGTCATGCTTCCCATGCCACAGCTCCTGCAAAGATAGCCCAGACCTGGCTGATCCAGTCCTTTCTATACCCTCTAGTATAGGGGTTTCCCTGCATTGGAGGAATTCCTCAGGTGGATAAGAAGGGGCCTGCTGTCCCTTCGCTACAGTCTAGCTGTCTTAAAGGGGCACAGTAATGATGAATTGGGCCCAAGGAGCTCAGGATTGATCAGAGGTAGTTATAGATCAAAGGAAATTGAAGCTAGCATTTATAACCTCATTAGCCAAAACATGAATGTAGAAAATGAAATTATTAGGAAATATAGCACTGAGATACATTAGCATTAACAGCTTTAGAACTGGCTGCCAATTCATTCAGCAAGAGAGATGCTTATTGCACCATCAGAAAGAGTCTACAGCAGAGGCCCCAATTATATCATGTACATTTATGTAAATATTTGGTGTCTGAGTAAAGCAGGTGCATACCTTGAAACTGAATGGCCAGACACAGCCCAGCCCACGTGGGCATGGAGCAGCAGAGAATGGATTTATCTATGACGACTGTGGAGAAAAAACAGATTTTCACAAAGAGAGCAGGATTTGAACATCTGGAACTTAAATATTTCCTTAATCAATTAAATTCTAGAAGTCATTGTTTAGTTACATTCCCCCTGCTGCAGCACAATGCAGTTGACTGCCACATCACATACGTCCCAGCTGTTGTTTGAACCCACAATTCCTTTTCCTCTCATCACCCTAGCAACAAGTAATATTTCTTTTGTTCTTTAAGAGCATTTTAATATTGATTTTAAAAGAAAAAATATGTAGAGAAAGACAAAATAAACTCCTAATCCTGCAGCCCTAATTGACGTCAATGGCACAGCTCTCTAGAGTAATGCCTGTGGGCTGGGCTTGCGAATGGAGCTATATGAAAATTAAGGGGAAATATGCATTTATTGCAATACAAGTAGCTGACCCCAAACTCCATGAATATTTTTACAC